GGTGCTGCTCTGGAGGAGGTGTAGGGAGGAATACAGCTCTCTTAAGGGTGAAGGTGGGTTAGTACTTGACAGAGGGCAGGGCATGGGTAGGAGGCGATGCAGGAGTATGGTTCAAGGGCTGGAGGGTAGTTTTGACGGTATGGGGCTTAAGATAGGATGCTTTAGGGTGCTGCCCCAGGGCTGTGCTCCTCTCGCTTTAGAACCACCTAGCAACTGAACTCCTTTCCCAAGGAAGGGCTTAAATGAATTTGTTGATATTGTTAAGTGCTGTCAGTGGTAGAAGACTCATAGCGACCCTATGAACAAAAGACTTGAACACTTGTATAATTTTCGTTGTTTCTCCAAGTTCATAGAGATTTCTGGAGACAAGCTGTTCCTGAAATGGATGCTCCTCCTACTACCGTTTTAATCGAGGAGCTCCACCATACACTGTCCACCATGGGTAGCCATTATCATATTTGACACATCAATGTCACAGCATTTAGCATCACAGCAACCACAAGTTACAGACCAGTGAACAGACCAGAACTATACTTCTTGGAAGAATGGTTGACCAAAAACAATTCAAACCAAGCCTTAGGGCCGCAGATTAAAATCACTCACCTTTGGTTGGTAGCATCACTTTGTATCTTCTAGGCCAACAGAGTTCTCTCTATGTTGTAGTTGTTAATGCATTTACAGAGTGATTTTTCTTTTACAGAGTAATTTATTTTATTTTTTTATTCTTGTACTCTTTTTTTAATTTAAATAGCATTCAGTTTATTACAAATATTTAGTATTGGCTTCCCATATTTCCCCCCTTTTGTTTTTATCATAATTATGTTATCATCTAGATGAGCATCCTTTATACATGATCAAACAAATAAAACAAACATAATAAACTCAAAGAAATACTTTCAAAAATCTCCATATGATCAGAAGGATTCGGGTTGAATATGCCTTCAAAGTTTGTTTTAATTGTCCCATTGCCACAGTGCTTGCCAAAACCAGTTCTGATTAATCTCTTTTGTCAGTGTGTCCTTTGCCATTCCCTATCACTCCTCCCTGAGAGAGATTTCATCCTGATTCATAAGGAAAAGGGGATGGCGTATTCTCTTAGCTATTTCCTGCTGAAAAGGGATGCTATAGGTTTTAGGGTGAAGATCTTCTCTCACTACTCTAAAGGGCCCCTTTGGCAATAGAAAATACATAGACCATTGTGGAGATTGATTTTGGAATTTAGATGCACTGTTAGCAGTTGTGCTTAGCCATACATGTTCATATCCTTGAAGATGCATCATGGAACTGTTGCAGCCTGGAAGACACAAATTTAACAAGTTAAAAGTACATGAGTCAGAAATTAAAAAGCAATAATATTCCAAGTAGAGGTTCTAACAGTGGCACAAATCAAGTTACAGATGGAAGGTAGTTGTTAAAATAAAAGGCTTATTGACTAGCACTTTGTCTATTATAGTATAAAGGTTAGGAACCACAAGATGTAGAGCCTCAACTATGTCATTTATTGTTCTTAAGTCCTGGACCAAATTCCGTCTACCATTGGGTTGTTTTACAGCTCGGAAGTCCACATGCAAGGCAGAAGTGAAGTAAGGGACTGCTTATGAGGTTTTCTGTCAATTCCAACAACTAAGAAATAGAAGATTTGGGACCTCACAAGGCTTTTAGGACCAAATAATAGGCTCTTATGTCCAGGAGAAAATGAATATACTTACCAGTAATATTAATGCTCACCCACGGCTCTTCTGGGAGGATCTGAATTGTTGAAGCCGGAGTAATTTTTGAGACACCCTTCAGTCAACCTAGTTGTTGTCAAGTCCATTATAAGTCATTGCAATCCATGTCTATCACTATATAATTGTGCTCTATAGTATTTTCAATGTTTGTTTTTTCAGAAACATGTAGAAGTAAGTCCTCAAGGAGGTGAATTGATTGAGTGATGGAAACATTGGGTTCCAACATAAAAACCATTGTGAAGATGATAGAGGACCAAGCATTGTCTTATTCTGCTGTACAAGAGGCAGTATGGATTGGAACCAATCCTACACACCTAACAATAGATTACTGGTATTTTTCTCCCCAGAAGGAGCTAGTTGCACAGTGGTTAAAGTACTTTGAAACCTTATGAGATTGTGCTACTCTGTAGGGTTGCTGTGAATTGGAATCACCTTAATGGCTGTGAATTTGGTTTTGAGGTTTTCTCCCAGTCTCCTCTTGGTGGGCTTGAACTTCCAGCCCTTTTGGTTAACAGCCAAATGAGTTACAAGGTTCTGACAAGTGCTCTGCCTCAACACACCTTTGGACAAACAAACTGACAGGAAAGTAGTAGCAGCTAGAATCTTCTGGTTGTTACCAAAGGAAACTCAAGAGACAAATTTTCAACCTAATGTTTCCCCAACCTACTCACAAGTTCTCAAGTTGCCTTTAAATATTAAACAAGACATTTTCTGCCATACTGAAAGAATAACACGAGTAGACTAGTCTGTTTTTATTTCTCTCTAGTGCTGCTCAAACTCACATGGAAGATTAAATGATGTAACTGTTGAACTGCACCCAAATTTCCAGCTGGGAGTAATATGCTCCAAAGTGTGAGACTTTCACACTAAAAGTCTGTTCAAGATACTGCATTTTGGATAAAAATAGGGACATTTTTCCTCCTAGTATTTTACTTTTGAATGTACATTTAGCCAATTGGATTAATTTTTGTTTGCTATCTAGCTGTGAATCACTGCTCTGGAGCTGACAGCTCCAATGAGTAAAACAGCACTGGGAAAACACCTGCTTTCCTTCATATTCATCTGGAAGGACATTGTGTTACATTTTTAGTTTATTTGTAGGAAAATATTTGTAGTAATATCATGTTTCTATAGTTCAGGGAATAATCACAACATTCATTATACTTTGACTCTTTTAGTTTATTTCTTTTTTCAAGAGTCTTGGATTTTGTGTAAAACAAAACCTATTGTTGTCAGGTGGTGTAGGGAATTGCACTGCTAACCTAAAGGTGACTCATCTTTGTGGTTAGAATTCATGGGTAACTCCAGGGGACAAAGATGGGAAATCTCCTGTATGAACTATAGTCTCAGAAAAACTACTGGAGGATCAGCTATGAGCCAGTTCCAGTTCATTGGTAATGAGTTAAGTTGTTGTGACAGAATAGAAATTAATAGAATAGAAAACTCCAAATATTTGTATTCTTAGAATTGGAGTAAGAGAGACCACCTGCCCTTCTTTAAAGTAAACGAAACAATAGTTACAACAAAACAAGTATTTGTTAAGAACTTGTTTTGTGCCAGTTATGTGAAATCATAGGAATAAGAGACAAAATCCCCAGCCTTCATAATCTAGTGAAAGATACAGATTGGTCAGTAAATGATTGCTTTTGCTAAGGACCAAGGTACAAGTTGCCATTGAGTTGATTCTGAGAGAGAAAGAGAGAGAGATCAGCTGGCCCAGCGAAGAGAAAACGATGTGACCAAGACAAAGGTGGGTGACTTTTAGTTCGCGGCCCTCAGCCCAGTCTTTCATTGTTTTTGTTCAGACATTCCTCTAGGTCGTATAGTCCTGCTGTACAAGTTGCCATCCCACGGTCACTTGTGGTTGCTGTGAGGCTGAACACTGCGACACGGTTGTGTCAAATGCGTTAATGGTTGGCTACCCAATGCGGAATGAGAGTGGGGTGGAGCTCCCCGATTGAACAAGTGTGGAAGGAGGAGTGGCGTCCACTTCCATAATAGCATGCCTCCGGAAACCCTATGAACTTGGAGAGAGAATGAAAGGCACCCAAGCGTCAAGGACTCTCCTTCATAGGGTCGCTATGAGTCGCCTGTGACTCGACGACGGCACTTAACAACAACAACAACATATGACCTTGTATGCATCAGAGTAAAACTATATTTAATTGGGTTTCTGATGGTTAGTGTTTCAGAAGTATATTTCTAGGCATTTCTTATGATGTGTTCTCACACTCACTGCTATTATGTTGGAACCAACTCATTGCTGACCTTCCAGTGGTTTTCAGAGCCTATATATTACATGAGAGATTTTCCATCTTTCTCCCTTGGTGCAGCTACTGAATTCAAACTACCTGACTTTGGCTTGGCAGCACATCTCGTTATTATTAGGCCCTCCCCAAGGTTCCTCTATAGTGATGTGCTGTCGAGTGAGTATGACTTATAGCGTCCCTGTGAACAGCCGCTCTGAAACTTTCTCTACCTGATCTGACTTCGTCATCTCTGATACACCTGATCCCTTTTCAGTAGTCACTGTGTCAATCCATCTAATATTGTTTCTTCCTCTCTTGTGTTGACCTTCCACCCTTCCAAACATGATGCCCTTCTCCAAGATGGACTCAAATATTCAACCATTCAGTTAGCAGCCAAATTAAACATTTGTACCACCAAGGGATTTCAAGATAAAGACCTTGATATTGTGGAATAAAACAGACTTTATTGCCCAACAGGACATTTAAGACATTGTTGTTAGGTGCTTTAAAATCAACCCCCACTCATAGTAACCCTATGAAAAACAGAGAGAAACCTAGCCCTATCT